CCTTCAGTCTCGCGCAGGGTCACGCAGGGTTACGCAGCCTCTCAGCCCCACGCTGCGTCGCGCGGCCGCCGGTCCCTGACGCGCTCTGTGGCTCCTGCAGGGGGAGCGCCGCGGCCCGGCCCTGAGGGAGGCGGAGGACCTGTGCAGGCTGTGCTGTCTCACTGCGGTTTTCCTGCTCCGCGCGCCTCTTCCCCAGAGAGCCCGCACCAGAGTCGTGGCTTCCCGCTGGACCGAGGAAATTCAGACCGCCTTACAGATGGTGAGTGGACGCTCGGCCAGGGGGCCTTGTCTCTGGTGTATGGGAGCCACGTCAGCGCGGGCGCCTGAAAGGGTCAGTGGCCTGGTCAGTCCCTTCCGAACCCCAGCAGCTGTGTTTGCGGTAGGACCGGCCGCACGCTGTCTCCAGCCTGAGGGGACCATCTCTCCCGCTCCGCCTGCGTCAGGGCCGGTGTCAGGTCAGGCCCAGGGTCAGGGCTGGGGCGGGGGTCAGGGCCGGCATCGGGATCGGGATCGGAGTCAGGGTTGGGGTCAGGCCCCAGGTCAGGGTTGGAGCCGGGGCCAGGGCCGGGGTCAGGGCCAGGGCTGGGGCGAGGGCCGGGGTCAGGGTCAGGGTCAGGGCTGGGGCGAGGGCCGGGTCAGGGCTGGGGGCCAGGGCCAGGGCTCGTGGCCCTTTCCTCTGCGCTGCGCAGCCCGCCTGTCTGCAGGGGCGTCTGCTTCTTGCTTCTTCTTCAGCCTGAGCCCCACCCGTGGCCTTTCCCTCATCTCCTGTCCCTGGAGTGTGCGTCTCTGAATAAATCTTCACTCAAAAAAAAAAAAAGAAGAAAGAAAGAAAGAAAGAAAGAAAAATCAGGGTTTTGTGATGTCAACTGGGAGAGAACAGTGACCGTCGTGTTCTGCTCTTGAGAGCCGTTGAGGAAAGCAGTCTGATTGTTTATTATTTTCGTCCAGTATTGAGGATATTTAGGGAAAATATGTTGACTTGAAAAAAATAGCGAAAGAAAACCTTACCCAGGAGCCCGCGCAAATCAGTGCTGGTCACCATTCATGTTTCAGTTTATTCTTTTTGGTGTAAATGCGTAGGTTTTTCTCTGTTTGTGTAATTGTTTCTAACATTGGGACTATACATGGTTATAGGTAAAGATATATATAATGTATAGTCTATACTTTTTTTCTTTCCACGTGTTTTCCCAGTTTCTCCCTCACTCCACTCATTCTGTGGTGGCTATTGGCTGCTTTCGATGGACACAGTGCGGTCTGGGAAGTGAAGAGGGCGTTTGCTGTGTTATAGGTGCTGCTGCTCCCAGGTTCTTCGTGTGTGAGTCTTTCCCTTTGATCTGGGGACTCCATGCCGAGAAATGGGATTAGCAGACCTTTTTTGCGGATCTTGACACTTAGAGTCCAAGTGCTCAGGGAGAGTACTTTAGAACCAGTCAGTTAGGAAGCCAGTCCACAGGTGTCGACCCACCGCACACGCGTTGCATGAGTCCTAGGGAGGAAGCTGAGAACCTAGTCCCCCCACCCCCAGCACTGTCATAGAGCCCTGTTTTGCGGGGGAGACAGATACTGAATTTTTAAAATTTACGTTAAGGAGGAACTGCAGGATGCTTTAGTACCCAATAATGGGAAGACTCCACTCAGTCTGAGAAGGATGGCTTCTCCTAAGAAATAAAGAAGTCAGGTAACCCGAGTCTGTTGGTTTGGGCTGGTTTCACTGGTGGTGCCTCAGCGATGTCTGCTGTGGCAGCTCATGGCGTGTGTGGGCAGCACTTCCAGTCCAGGTGTGGAGGGGTGGGCCTGGGTCTGCAGCCGTGAGCACTTCCAGGGAACACAGGATCATGTGCTTCTGCTGGTGTCCAGTGAAAGTACGTTCCTGTGTCCTAAAGCCCACTGGGGAACCCTTTCCTTGGCATTTTCCATCAGGAAGAGGCAGACTGTGGTTCACTAAAGCGATAGAGATACAGTCTTTAGCGCCTATTTAATTCACTTCAGGCATCTTAGTGTAAGTCGTGCCAGGGCAGTACGCTGAGCCTAGGAATACTGTACGTCAGACACTGAAATAATATGATACAGCATCAACAATGTTGTGCTATGAGTTTTGCTGTAAATTTACTTTCGAGAAATACTTAATTTTTTGCCAACTTTGTGTCGGTTGAATTACATGTACTCAACTACTGAATGGTATGTATATATTAATTGTGGTATTGATTTACAGATGTAAAGGAATGCTCTGTATGTGTAATTTTCACTTACCTGAGTTTCATAAACAGTTTTTTAATGCACAGTGGGTATTAAATGAAAAGAATAGTACTGAGTCTTTCTAAATGATGGGATGTTCTTGGGGGACCCTGCAGGACATGCTCAGTGGTCTTGGCTGGTAGAAAACATCGTTCTTTAACTAGAGTGGTGTGGATGGCCAGATATGTGGGAAGAGCACTGTTTATTCCGTGCCCGTGTCAAGTGTGTCCTTGACCTCTGTTACTTCATTCAGACAACACTCCTCATATGTCCTCATTTTATGAATGAAAACCTGGGCTCAGGAAGGCTGAGTGGCCCCTTAGTGGGCAGCTAACAAATGACCAGGTTGAGGTCCTGTTTCATCTTAAGCCTGTGCCCTCCCATGCCCTCTGCTCTCCCCGCATGTTGGGAGTAGCTGATGACCCCTCACCCCTCCTCTGGTCTCCCCCTTCTCTGAGCTTCACTTGGGTAGCACTGGCACCAGGAAGCATAACTTCAGGGAGCCTCGGACGTTTTGGCAGTAAAAGGCATATTCTGAGGTCTCTGGAGAAACTGAGCAGCTCAGCAAACTGCAGGGAGGGTTTCATGTTTGCTCCAATCTTGATACTTGAAGGCCACTTGTGGTGCCTGTCAGATGGAGTGAGTAACGTCGGGGACTTCTGGTGTTCTGTTCTCACACATTATTGCTGACTCAGTGGTATGATGGGGAAGGATCTGTGGCCTGGGGGTGGGGACAGACCTCACGTGCGTGGTTCCCAAAGTAGGGCCCCCTGACCAACAGTATCAGCATCACCTGGGACCTTGTTAGAAGTATAGATTCCTGGGTCCACCCAGACCCATGGGATCAATCTCTGTGGATGGTGCCCAGCAATCTGTCGTATTTAATAACCTTTCCAGGTGAGGCTTGTGCTGCATTTTGAGAATCACTGCTCCGTGGCTCTAAGGAAATCTCCTCAGTTTTTATTTGTAGATAAAACTACAGTTGAGGTGGGAGGTCCCTGCCTTTTTGGTATGTATGATTTAATCAGGAACCATAGGTAGCCGTCCTGAGTTACCTGGTTGGAGTGGAGCTGCCCAGCGCAGTAGCCAGCAGCCATAAGTGGACAGTGGGCACTTGAGACATGGATAAGTCTAAAAGAGACACCATATTTCAAAAACTTAGTGTGAAAAACACGTAAGCTGTTCTGTTAATATTTTTATATTGATTACACATTGAAATGATAATATTTTGGATATGTTGTGTTGAATGAAATAAGTTAAAATGAATTTCAGCTTATTTCTTTTATAATGTGACATCCAGAAGATTTGAAATAACATTTACAACTTGCCTGTTTGCCTGTGTTACACTTCTGTTGGGTTACTCTGGATGCAGTGCCACATCGATCGAGATGACAGGAGAGCCTGAGTGTTTTATCAGTAAGGGATTTTAGTGCAGAGAGCTGGCCTTTTTTTCCCTCTGAACCTAACTCGTCAGACTCTAACACTGATGAAAGGATGACTCCGCTCACTCAGAGAAGTTATTGAACTCTTGTCTGCCTTGCTCTGTGCTAAACATGCTTGGGGAGACATCCTGCCTGTGACTGGCAGGGACACAGATGCACTTCTGTTAACTCTGTGGCTGCACAATGATGTAGGCTAATGGGAATCTTTGAGTTTGAAGGTTTCAGCATCTTCTAGATCCCTGAATGATCAAATGCTCCTTATTTTTTTTAATGCTCTTTTGACCTGGAAATAAAATGGAAAACATTAAATCCTAAGTAAATATTGTACATTTGAAAGCAATGTTTCTGTAGTCTTGGATTTGTGGGTTACAGTAGGAGAAAAAAATGTATTAGTCATGAAATACAGATTTCTGTGATTCAGAATACAGAACTATGATGAATTCATTTTTTGGTTAGTTTGATTTTATTTTAGCTTTAACCTTGCAAGGTATAAAGCACTCATCATTAACCAGCCCAGAAGGGCTCACATTAGTAAGAAAAGGAGGAGCCTGGCTACCTTACCCTACGTGTTCAAGACCATGTTAGAGTTTACTGCTAATGTAAAAATTGTCAGTAACTTGGTTTTATTTCCAATTTTCAGAAAAGCTGGTGTGACTATTTCATCCTAAGTAATATAAATGTTTTTGAATTTTGGAATCTGAATTTAACTCACCTTTCCGACTTAAGTGATGAGCTTTTGTTGAAAAATATAGCATTTTACTATGAAGAAGAAAATGTTCAAGGTACCACCTTAGTATATTATAATAAGTATACTTTTATCCAGAGGTAGACCTTATAAAGGATTTAAAACTTCAAAATCATTTTTCTATACTTCCAACATATAACATAGCAGTCATCGTCTTTCCACTGTTTGTTTATACATGTATATAAGTTTTACTTAGTTGCAATCAGAGTGAATGCATTTTAAAACATTTTTAACTTAATATTACTCCACAAGTATTGTTAAAAACAATATGTGTTTGGGAAATTGGCATTTCTAGTTAACAGTTGAATTTTCCATTTAAATACATGCATAACATTTTTTCATAACATTAATGGAATCATTCTACTACTATTAGATATTTAGGGAATTTAAAATTTTTTCCAAAGATAAAGCTGATATATATATATACATGTATTATATGTTATATGTAATTAATTTTCTTTTCTTTGCATCAATTTATGAGAATAAATGTTCTGTTTATTAATAGTGAAAGAAAAATAAGACACATTTTAAGAGAAGTATAACTAATTGAGCATTACCGTGAATCAACAGTACAGTGAAGCAACATTACTAATTGAGCAGAACCACTAAGTTTTGGTTCCTACATATTGCAAACACTGGAATGAGTTAGCTACAAATACATTTAGCAATTCTTTACAAACATTCTAACTTTTGAAAACTCATAGTTTTTATTCTGTTTTATTGATTGTAAAGCTATGTGTGACATAACATTTCTTACTACCTTGAAAAATAGTTAGGTGTTCACCATCTGTTATTGTTAGTTAAGATAGTTATAATTTTAATACTTAGCTATCAAATGGGGAACAAGATAAATTTTAAGGTGTGCAGTCTCACAGGCAACACTAGGGATCATTTTCCTTTAGGTTCAGTTTGGAACTCACTGAAAATGTCACTGTTTGACCAAAGTATTTCAGAGTTCTATGACTTTAGTCAAAATAACTGCATCTGTGTATGTGTGAGTGACTTTTAGTACTTACCACTTTTAACTCTTATATAGGTCTACATTTGAATTTGGGAAATGTCATTACGAAGGATTATGAACACCTCTGGGATACTGTATCAAAATTGGTCCGAAAGTTTGATGTTGGAAAGCCATTTCCTCTGAGAACAACAAAACTTCCTTTTCTTAAAAAGGCTCCATCACCGATCAAAGGTAAGAGATCGCTGAATTAATTTGAAAGAAAAGCCTCATCCCTCTGAAAATGTTTTGAAACATTTGAACGTTGTTAACTAAATGTTGCAGATACAAGTATTTTCCTCGTGCTGTGCATTTTCACAATAAATTACCTATATTGTCATATCCTTGGGGCAATAATACTTTGTAATTTTGAAGTTTTATGTTTTGCTTGTAACTAATATTGCTGTCAATTTTAAAAAAAAGCAAGATACATGTGATTTCCATTTCTGTCAGCATGGAAGTGTTAGTAAGTGAAATGCTGGATAAAAGACACCAAACATCTTTGTATAAAATCGTAACTGAGCTCAAAACAATAGGAGGGAAATCTCAGGAGCCAACGAATGAAGGAAGAGATAGATCTACAGATCACTCTGAGAATTTCTAATTATAGGTCTGCTCTCTCAGGAATCTGTGGTTTGGTTTACTCTGTTATCAGGGTCAGGACCACGCTAAGCCAGAAAATAACCTTAAAGTGATCAAAGGAATCTGGCACATTCTCCATAGAAGAGCAACACGATAAACACTGGTTTTACAGGATTCTCTGTGAAATATGAGTGTAAACACAGATTTATAAAACAGCAGAAGAAATAAGTCCCAAGAGAAACAAGAAGTTACAGAAATGGAACTCTTAAGTCCTTCAGGTTTTGTAATTATCCAAAGTAGATTGTACTATATGTGTGTTTAAAAATGTTTAAAGAAATAAAATAGGAAATTTGAAATGTGAGAAAATAACAACACGATACAAAACATTTCACTCACTTTGTAAAGTAGCCAAAGTTGTAGAAATGAAAATACTGTCAGTGGATAGGTTCGAAGCTGACGGGATTTTGCCAAAGAGAGAATTTGTGAACTAGAAGTAGGTCACAAGAATTATACATACAAATAGAGATGACACAGTGTATGCCTTAAATTTACACAATGTCGTATGTCAGTTATATCCCAATAAAGCTGGAAAACATTTGAAAATAACCAAAACAAGCAAAAAAAATAGATACAAAAAATTATAAAATACAAGTTATATCTTCCATGTCTTCATGGAATGAAGCACACTAATACTCGCATTACAGGGGTCCCAGAAAGAGAAGAGAGAGGGAAAGGACCTGAGGAAATTTTTGAAGAAATAATAACCGAAAACTTACCCAACTTGGTAGAGGAAACAGTCACCCAAGTCCAAGAATTGCAGAGTTGCACACAGGGTCAATCCAAAGAGGAGCACACCAAGGCATGTAGTAATCAAATTGACAAAAGGAGAAAATATTAAAATTAAAATGACTAAAATTAAAAGACTGACCATAGCAAGTGTTGGCAAGCTGTGAAGCAGCACTACTGATGGAATGCAGAATAACACAATACTAGGCTTCTACCTAATAGAAATGAAAACATTTTGTCCAAAGACTTGTACATAACTGTTTATGGTGGCTTTCTTTGTGATAGACATTATCAACTAGAAAACATGTTTATATAACCATGCAATGGAATATAACAACAATGAAAAGGACTGAATACAGACCTAATAACTACATGAGTGAATTTCTAAATAATAATGCTGAGTGGAAGAAGCCAGAGAATAGATTGTTCCATTTATATAAAGTTCTTGAAAATGCAAACTAATCTATAGTTACAGAAATCATATCAGTGGTTTATTTCTGGACAGGGTCTAGATGTCAGGGAAGGAGGAAAGAGAGAGATTATAAAGACACACAAGAAACCCTTTGAAGATGATGTTTATATTTATTTTCTTGTTTGTGGTAAAGGTTTTGTGAATATATACATATGTCAAAACATCAAATTGTACACTTTAGATATGTGACCCTTGTCAGCTTAACCTCAATGAAGCTGTAATTTCAAATAAAAAAGATATAACAAGAAAAAATAAGAGACATGGAGGATAGAATGAAGATGTGTAACCTTTCATTCATTTGGAGATTCAGAAGCAGAGAATGAGCCAAGGTGGGTCAGGCAGTACTTGAAGAGATGATGGCTGGGCAGTTGCCTGGATGATGAAACAAGAATGTGCACGTCGAGGGCATACGATGTGTCCCAAGTGGGTCAGTTAACAACTGCACATGCACACTGAAAAATACCCATGCTAGACACAAGGCAACAGAATCACAGAATGTGAAAAATAAGTATTTTAAAAGAATCAAGAGTTACTTACAGAGGAAAAATTTAGTCTGATAATAGACTTTCCCAGTAATGGTGATAGAAATCAGAACATAATGAAATTATATATAATTTTTAACATGTAATTTAAGAATGAAGGAGTAAAGTGGACATCTTCAAAAGTACAAACATGGATTTATCCATCATCCTGTCATGGCTGAAGATATTTCTGCATCATGAATTTCAGGAAGGATAAAATAACCCCAGAAGGAATGTGAAGGAAAGCTAAGGGGAAGTCAGGAGGTAGTTACAAGTATGGTTTTCAGAAGGCAGGGGAGGAATATATATCCTCTGCCCTTAGTCAGGATAAGTCCCCTAGACAAAGACTCTTGAGTTCGAAGAGATGGTTGGCCCCGGGAAGGTCAAATAAGGGAGTGTCAGGTAACACCAGGGAGAAAACATGGTCCATGCAGGGCGTTAACGAGTAGGTTTCCATGTGGGCAACTGCAGGTAAGTTATACTAGGAATTTTCAAACGGTGTGCAAACCACTTGGGAGATGTCTTACCCAAAGAGCAAGATAGCCAGGGTATTTACCCTGCAACTTCCATCCAGTCTTTGGGGCATGAAATCCTTAGGACGCTGGCTGCACCCACAGCTGTAAGAGGAAGGTGCCCAGGTAGAGTTGTAGGGCTCATAGGAAGGTATCAGGCAGACACTGGAACAGCGAGCATCAGGGGAGTAATAGGCAGCCTACCTGGAATTAGGAGCCAGATATTAGATAAAAAGGCATTCGTTAGCCAGCTGTCATATATACAGTGTGCATGTGACATGTATGAACACTGTTGTGTGTGTGTATCCATGTTTGTAATATCCAGAAGGATGTAAGGGAAGACACCAGTGATACCCAGTAACTTCACTGACATCGGTATCTTCCTCTACTGTTTTTTCATTTTATTTTCATAAAAGTATAATGTAAGAGATTTATGAGTGAGACTTCCATGTTCAAATTCCTTGTCCCATAATAAGATATAAGAAAAGGAATAAACATTTGGAAATAGGAAACAGGCGTTTTTCTGTCTATCTATCCATCCATCCACCTACCTACCTACCTACCTACCTACCTGAGTGCTGCCTTTCTTATACACTGCGGTGTTCCAGAGTGTTTTAATGTGGGAAGTAGCTTTATGGGATGGGCTGGAATTGATCAGTGTAAATTTAGATCAATGAAAAATGTTTCTTTCAGTGTAAATTTAGATCAATGAAAAATGTTTCTTTAATGTGAAGTTTTGGAAAATGATGTATAATATGTTTATATGTATAATATGTATAAAAGTTTCACATTTGACCTTGTCTTAATTTTTTACTTGTTTACAGATACCTTCAAGGAAAAGATGCCTGATTTGGGTTTTATTCCAATGTCATGTCAGGTGGTGGATAAGTTTGTTGGAGACATTTTGAAAGATTTGCCCTTCCTGCTGAGGTATGGGGCTCAAAGTGCCTCAGTAAATACCTGGGTGGAATGAATGAATTACTCATTAAAGATTCTATGAAATGTGACATTATTTATAAATAGGGTATGTTAGATGTAATGTGTTTGTAACACATGAGTTTAATATCAAAGCCTTTTGGATCATAACTAGGTTAAAATCAACATGATTTTAATCTTAGAGTAAAATCATTCTACCTGCATGTTTTTAATTAATGAATTAATCTATGAATATTTGTTGATGTTGACCTCACTGTTAGAGATACACAGTGGAGTCTGGGTTCTTAAGTCCCTAATAAACTGCTCTTTGGAGCCTACCATCCACATTCTATGACAGAAAGAGGCAAGGTGGCTGTGATTTTTAAAACAAAATTTTTTAAAATGAAATCTATGCTGTGTTTGGAGGCATGTGGTTAAAATAAGCATGTACTTCCTGTCATCTCATAGTGACGACCCTGCTGTAACTTCGCTGGTCAGACAGAAGGAATTTGATGAACTCGTGCACTGGCATTCCCACAGACCCCTCAGTGATGACTACGACAGGACAAAGTGTCAGTTCAATGGTCAGTGCTGCGACTCTGGTGAAATAAATTAAGATTGGTTTTACTCTCTTCCTGTTATTTTATAATGAAAAGTTGTCGTGTTATGAGCCAAGAGTTATACTTCTTGAATAATAACAGTGTTCTAGGTGTTTAGAGGTGTGTCAGTAAGGCAGGTGATGGAAGAGCCCCCCCTTGGTTGCTGACGGCCACCTGTCCATGGCACGCGGCTCTCTGGGGAGGAAATGCATGGTTAATGGCATTTATCCCCACAGAAGTTAGAAGCTTTTTTAAGCAAAGACAGCTTGCAGTTTGACACCTGTGTGTTCCTTGACCTCAGAAATATTGAGGCCAAAGGCTTCTGAGCAGTTTCAGCAGCTTTCACAGCACTCAGTTGTCTGCTCGTCACAAGTATAGTGGTTTACCGCCATGGTGCTCAGGTTGGAGGGGCTGCCACAGGAGGCCAGTGTCACTGCTGACAGTATGTCAGTGAGAGTGAGTTAGGGACCCTTCTCCCCGGCTCATCCCATGTCTTCCTCTCACCCTGGTCTACCCCCTGCTCAGCCCCTCCTTCACATGGACAAAACTTAGCATCAGAAAAATCTAGATGTGTACATGATAAGCATGCTCACACACACCACTCACCAGCCCGTTGATGGACACAGCAACCAAGATCCAAAAAAATACGAGGGACTTTTTAGATTAATCCCTAACATCCTTCCAAGTGGTTTGATTTGATATTGGCAGATAAGGATAGAAAAATCAACCCACTGAATTATCCCCTTTAAGTGAGGACTGTAGTTTTCTTTGGGGCTGGGAGCAAGTCATAACTTTGTTGTTGGGGTTTCCTATGTCAATGGATTTTTCCACAGTGACAGGTTTTCTGAGCTGACAAGTTCTTGGCTCTGTGGCTGTGGTCTGGAGTAAGGGTTTTTCTATCAAGTGATGCAAGAAGGCCTAGATGGGTGTCTTCCTGATTTTTCCATCTTCCCCCATTAACCTCCTTCACAGAGCACATGACAGAAGCAGTGCTCAGAAGCTGTCATTCTCTGCAGCATCTTGATGTTTACTTTGAGAGGTAGATGATGAAAGAGTGTTCTATCCCTTCCATCCTTTAAAGAATGAGGCTACAGACGAGAGAGCTTAACTGAAGATTCCCTCTTCAATGGAAGTAATCAGCCTAAATGACTGCTCCAAACTAAAAGGAAAAGTGTGTGTGTATGTGGGGGTGGGGTGGGGTGGTGTGAAGCATCAGTGAGAATGCTGTTGCAAAAATATACTTGTGTTGCATTTTAAGTCTTTTCTTTTTCAGAAAAACTTAGAGATCCTCATTATCTCAGATCTGTGCAAAAGTATCACGTTTTTCAGCGATTTTATGGGAAGTCACTAGAATCAGTCTCTTCAAAACTTCTTGTAACTCAAGCCACCAAGCCCAAGAGGAATTTCTGTGAACCCAAGAGCAAAAAGGCACAGGTAGTTTCTGTTAAGTCTATCCTTTTTTTTTTTAACTTTTATTTATCTTGTATTGTTATTTGTTCCATCTCTTTGGTAGTTGCTTTCCATACTGTGTTTTTAGAAAGTAAAGAGTTAGAAAAGATACTTCATGCAAGTGGAAACCAAAAGAAAGTAGGGGTAGCTATACTTATACCATACAAAGTAGACTTTCATGCAAAGACTGTAATAAGAGGAAAAAGGTCGTTATATAATGATAAAGCTGAAAACCTGAAAGCTTTTTCTCTAAGATCAGGAACAAGACAAGGATGCCCAGACCACCACTTCTTTTCAACTTCGTACTGGAAGTTTTAGCCAGAGAAGTTAGGGAAGGAAAAGCAATAAAAAGCATCCACATTGGAAAGGAATAAGTCACACAGTCGCTATTTGCAGATGACATTACAGTACCTAAGAACCCTTAAAGACTCCACCAGAAACCTGTTAGAACTAATGAATTTTATTCTTCAGTAAAATGAAGAATAAAAAATGAACATACAAAGATCTGTTGTGTTTCTATACACTAATAACAAACTATCAGAAAAAGAAATTTAGAAAATAACCCCATTTACAATTGCATCAAAAAAAAATACCAAGGAATAAATTTAACCAAGGAGGTGAAAGATCTGTACTCTGAAAACTGTAAGGCATTGATGAAAGAAATTGAAGAGGATGCAAATAAATGGAAAGGTTTTCTGTACTCACGGATTGGAAGAATTCTCCTTGTTAAAATGTCCTTACTACCCAATGCAATCTACAGATTGAATGCAATCCCTATCAAAATACCAATGGCATTTTCCACAGAAATAGAGCAAACAATCCTAAAATTTGTATGGTGCCATAAAACACTCCGAATACCCAAAACAATCTTGAAGAAGAAGAACAAATCTGGAGGCATCACACTCCCTGTCTCCAGCTATGTTACTAAGGCTATAGTAATCAAAACAGCATAGTATTGGCATAAAAGTCCTAGAAGAAAGCATAAGTGATAAGTTCCTTAGTATTGGTCTTGGCGGTGAGTTTTTGGCTCTGACACCAAAAGCAAAGGTAACAAAAGCAGAAATAAACAAGTGGGACTACTAAAAAGATTCTGCACAGCAAAGGAGACCATCAAAAAAAAAAAAGGCAGCCTACAAAATGGGAGAAAATATTTGCAAATCATGTATCTGATAAAGGATTAACATCTAAAATGTGTGATGAACTCATAAAACTCAATAGCTAAAAAATGAACAGTTGGGTTAAAAAATGTCAGAGTGACTGAATAGATATTTAACCAAAGATGACATGCAGATGGCCAACAGGTTCATGGAAATGTGCTCAACATGACTAATCATCAAGAAAATGCAAATCAAAACCACAGTGAGATACCACCTCACACATGTCAGAATGGCCATCATCAAAAGACCAGAGATGATAAGTGTTGGTGAGGACATGGAGAAAAGGGAGCCCTCGTGCACTGTTAGGAATGTAAATTGGTGCAGCCCCTGTGAAAAACAGTATGGAGTTTCCTCAAAAAAATTAAAAATAGAACTGCCATATGATCCAGCAACCCCACTTCTGGGTATTCCAGAAAGGAAAACAGGATATGGAAGCTCTCTCTGCACACCCGTGCCCATTGCAGCATTACTTACAGCAGCCCAGATACGGAACCAGTGGAAGTGTCCACCAAGGGATGAGTGGATGAAGAAGATGTGGTAGATACATGTACATATTGGAATAGTATTGAGTCATAGGGAGGAAATTCTGCCATTTGTGACCACACGGATGAACCTAGAGGTCAGAGGGAGGCAGATACTGCGTGGTAGAACTTACATATGGAATGTGAAAGAAAAACACGCCAAGCTCATAGGAACAGAGAGTAGAAAGATGGCTCCAGGCTCAGGGGTGGGGAACTAGGGTGGGTCTGGTGAAAGGGGACTGGCTCTCGGCTCCGAGAAGAGCAGGGTCTCAGGAGCTAATGTATCATGTGGCAACTGGAGCTGGCAGCGTTACATCACACCACTGAGATTTGCAAAGAGAGTAGATTTTAAATGTTCTCTCCTTCCCCTCTCTGAAAGATAAATATACGAGGTGATGGATGGGTTAATTAACTCAATGGGGAGGACCCTTCCACAGTGTATATCGAGTCACCATGATGCACACTTTCAATATCTTACAACTTTATTTTTATATCTGAAATTAAAAAAAAATGTATCTGAGCAGAAGCAGAGACTTTTGCTTTAATAGTCAAAAAGTAGCCTCCCCAGGTCCAGCCGGGTGGTCTTGTTTTTCTCCTTGTGGTGACCCCCTTCTTTTTATTTTCATAGCCAATTTTATTGTTAGTGAGACCACCCAATGACAACTGTGCCTTTTTTATTTAGGGCTACAAAAAAAGCTTCTTCTGGGTTTTGTTTTTTTTTTTTTTGAGAGATGTTATAAAATAGAAAGTTTGCACAAATTCCCATTATATAGTGTAAGGTATAAAGACTGAAAAAACATCTCATGCTTTTCTTTCTTTTACACTATCGGAAATTAAATTATCTCATGGGGATTAAACAACCTTCACACTGTATAAATGTTCTCTTCCAGCAACAGTTTAGTAAGTCTGCATGTTCTAGCTAAAACAAGCACTGTGTGGCAAAGAGCCAAGGGTCACCTTGTCCCCTTGAGACAGAGCCATGCTAGCTCCACCTGGGACAGTACCTCTGGGAGACCAGAGCACTGAAGATGACCCATTGATGAGAACTGAACTCTAAGAAAGTGATGAAACTAAAATGACTTCATTACAGGCAAGGCTTAGATACTGGTATCATGGCTGACCAGCGCAGTGGGAGGTTTGTCAGAATTCTCTACGGGTGCAACGGTTCTTTGATTTTCTCTGCAGATGAGTAAGTCAGGTTGGTAACAACATATCAGAAGTGGATCCCTGTTGTGTTTAAGTAGGTCAGAAATGCTTGTCCAGATGGAGCAGACCTGCTCGTTTAACTTGTTCCTTCTCCTTCCTCCTTCCCTTTGTGCTCTTGCCCGTCTTCACTCACTCGTCAGACAGTCTGAGCTACATCTTCTGTGCTTGGGACCCAACAACAACTGTCTCAGGGAAAGTAATCTGGAGATACAGCACGGCGCATAGGGTCATGGTGGCCCTGTGCGTGATGAGGCTTCTGTAGAGATGCTGGGCGGAGGGGGCACAGGACTTGGGCTTGAAGAGTTGGGAGAGGTTCTGTGGAAGAAGCATCTTGATGGACACGTAAGGGTCGGGGGTGACCCTGGCGGGTAGGAGAGGAAAACCAGTCCCTGAGAGAGTGGGAGACAGGAGGCCCATTTGCTCTTCGGCTGATAACCTACAGCACTCAAATCTAGGAGATGCTCTTCAGGGGCTTTACTGTCATCCAGGTGGGTTTCCACAGTATTCAGTTCACAGAGGCTTCAATTTTAAGAAACAGACAGTGAACCAAAAAGTGTGCCTTTTCAAGAATAAGAGGGTGGTCAAAATAATTAGTATACACTTACTTAAAAATACCATCTCATTCATATTGCTAACTTGTTTTATGAGACGATTCTTTCTTTTTTGGGCAGGAGACCAAGGCTGAAATAATCACTAGAGAGAATAAGAAGAGGTTACTTGCCAAGGAGGAGCAAAAAGAAGAGAAAAAATGGGATGTCCTGTCATTTTCTATTGAGGAAGAGATGCAAGAGAATTTGAGCTCTGGAATAAAAAACCTGGAAGACTTTCTGAAATCGTGTACAAGTAGCTCGGTGAAATTTCGGGTAGAAATGGTAGGCTTAAAGGCCTGCTTGAAAGCGTGGAAAGAGCATTGCCGAGGGAAAGGTGTGTGAGTGGATGCTCATTTGTTTGCTTTAATAAATTGGAGAAGAAATAAAAATGGAATGATGACAGCTGTCCCTTATTAAGTGGAAATTTGTGGGAGAAGCCTTAGATGCATTATGTCATTTTCTCCTTGCAGAGTTCCTCTAAGGCTGATTTTCTCTATTTTGTCAATGAGTGCTGACCTTTCAGAGAGGGCCCCAGTAGCAGTTAAATATACAGCACATTCATAAGTGAATTCAAATCAAATTACAGGCAAAGTTAGGTCTACAGATAACCGCGTACAGAACTGTGGGCGTGGTTCAGGGGACCAGCCGAGACGGTGAGTTTCCTGAGGAGGGTCTGTCCTTCATCTCAGATCTCAGCTGCAGACTTTTTCTTTCTGAGTGGAGCGTGGATCTTGTTTGCCTGGCTTGCTGAGTCCTTCCAAAAGTGGCTGTGGTTTCCACATGCTTTGCTTTACCGCTGCTACAGTAGATGGCAGAAAGGAATGGGAGAGGCAGGAAGAGGCAGGTGATGGAGAAATCAGGCAGGGTGGAGATGTGCAAGTTGACAGGAGGTGCGACAACCAGGTGCCTGATGCCTCTGGATGGACAGCTCTCTCCTGCACCTCACTGGTCTGACTCTCCATTCTCTCCATGCTGGAGTCTGTTGCACACGTGGCTGCCAGGTTCTTTTTTCCTTCTCGTTCTACCAACTTCAGTCTGTTGAGCAAAGTTAGCCTTTCACTGTGGCCTTCATCACCGTGAGAAGCACATGACTTGGCCTGTGTAGCGCTCACTCAGACACTGCGTCAGGATTTGCAGTTGGCTGCTAGTAAGGGGCTGAGGGTTAGCAGTGGCTTCTGAGAATTCTGGATTAAGTGTGTTTTGTAGCCTTTATAGCATCTGTAGGTGTCTGGCAATATTTGTTAAATAGATAAAATGTAGGGTGATGGAAAGAAAGGTGGAATCAAAACAGCTCTGACAGGTAGCGCAGGAGAAGGTCAGCAGTGAGGAGGAGCAGGAGGGATGTGTGGGACTGTGAGGAAGTGGTGGGGTCACAAATTGGGGGCTGGAAGTTGTAACAGGCTGAGGGAATGAAAAGGCTGCAATGATCATGCCACGTACTTACCCATTAGGCCACCATTAGGATTCAAAAAATGTTGCCAAGGTTTTAACCAGATATTTAAAGTCAGCTGATTATTTTTCTTTGAACACAGTAGAGAAGGAATGAAAATAATGGATGGAGAAGAGATTTGTTCCCCAGAATTTATACAAACTCGGACTTTGATGATCTTTTTTCTACCATGAACTACAAGGTGTTTCTTTTCCTCCGGCACTCAGGCAGCTACATTGCAATTATCCGTGGAGATGATGAAGTGTGTGTAGTTGCTCTTACAACATTTAATTTTATTCCGTTGTCTGTACTCCCAAACCTCCATTAATGCTTAGACAGTGAATTTAATTGGGTCAGATTGGTAGCCTGATGACTAACCTTGGATAATCAAATATTTATTGCTTTTGATGGGCTTTAAAACAGTTTTGCTGTTTGTTTGTTCTTTGCCCAGGTGAAACCACAAAAGATATAAGTATAGCTGTTCAAATGATGAAGAGGATCCACTCTGTGATGGAAAAGTACCCAGAACTTTTGCAAGAGGCAGACCAACAACTCATAGCCAGATGCCTTAGGTATTTAGGATTTGAGGAGTTGGCAAGTTCTGTGCATCCATCCCAGGTAATGCTTTCAGAATAGCTCCACTTTAGTTATTAGGTGTACATAAAGTGTCTTGTAGACACCATGACCTCTTTTAGATTTTTTTTTACTGAAAATATTTACTCTAAGTTCTTAATCATTGTTAGTAATCTAGCTGCCCCAACTTGAAGTAATCCAGAGTTAGAAAATTGTGCAGATGCTCGTCTGGACAGACAAATTAAATGCCAGATAATCTCTGCAGACCTTTAAAATCGGTCCTGTGTTTGATTCTAGCAAAACATTTAAAAGCTGTACTGTGATTGCTCAGTTGTCTTTATATCAGACTAGCTCAAATATCATGGTAGGCATGTGAAAATCTTGATGTCTGCTAATTATTTACTCTTAGTTAAGGTGATGATTTAGGTGGGAAAATATTTCTTCAATAAATATACAAATCTAAAAGGTGTGGGTGCTTTTCTCATAAAATTATTTAATTATTTTATTAAAAATAATATTTTAATCATTTAAATGATGTAATTTTTGTGTTCTAAAGCTGTACATTTTAGCAAACGTGGTTTAAAAAACAATGCCAAGAATCCAAGTGACAAATGGTAGGTCTTTTCTTTTTTGTTGTTGGAGTATAGTTAATTTACAGTGTCAGTTTCAGGTGTACAGCAAAATGATTCAGTTATACATACACATACATATATACATATTTTTTTCAGATTCTTTTCCATTGTATGTTACTTCAAGAAATTGAATGTAGTTCCCTGTGTTATACAGTAGGACATTGTTGTTTGTCTATTTTATATATAGCAGGGTGTATCTGTTAAATGGTATAATTTAAAATCACTTTCAAAATGGACTTTTAAAATAATATCACAGGTCACAGGAAATGACATAAAAGAGAAGAAAAAGAATAAATACTCAGTTGGCATTGGGCCAGTTCGGTTTCAGCTGCAGCACATGGGCCAGTATTTGGTACGAGAGGAGAGGAAAGACCCAGACCCCAGGGTTCAGGACTTTATTCCTGACACTTGGCAGGTAATGACTGAATGAAATGGACATTTTTGTGTTTTATCATTAAATTTGATCTGAGGAACTTCTCATTATTGTGGCTCTGCACACCATGTTTGGCATCAACTTCTTCATATTGAGTCATGCCATTGAAAATGAAAATGTCAAATGTAGACTTTTTTCCCATGTAGAGAAAGTGAATTTTTCATTTCGTTCATTTTTCATAAACAGAGTATTTTCCTGGAGGTGCTGTGATGGATTCTTGTGTGTATATTTGAAGTTCTGTGTCATCCAGCTGTATCGTTACAGAGCTGCCCCAGGGTTTTCCAGTGTCAGTAGGATTTCCTGTATGAATACAGATGTGTGCACAGAGACATTTGGGAGTCCAAGCAGTATAGAAAAGTGTTTGGATGTTTACACGTGGCACCTGTGCCAGGGTAGCTCTTCTACAAGTAATGTAAAATTAATATTGATGGGTATAAAATTTGGGGTAAAATGTGTGTTTCTGCATTGATTCAACCTTATAAGACTGCCTTGAACCTTATAAATTAAATGTTTCCCTACAAGAGTGGAGTTTGACAGGTGCAGTCTAATAGACTGTTTTCTGCAGATCCGGGCTTTGTCTTCCTTGTGTTGATGGTGGAAGGTGCCTCAAAGTCCCTGCTTGTTGTTCAGGAGAGGGAGAACCAGAGCCTGCCTTCCTCAAGTGCAGGCTCAGTGGGGGGCTCCCCTCGCATCCCTCACGCCCTGCAGTTCTGTGCCTGCTTCACTCTGGGGTGTGGACCTGGCTCAGGGAGTGAATGGGATGGGGCTTGGGGGTGTTCTTTCACCTTCTGCCCATCACACAGGCTTATGGTTCTGTGACTGGGCATCATTTCAAGGAATAAAAGCATGGGCTGAATGGCTGTGAGCCTGTTTTAATGAAGGTCCCACACACCTCCAGTGTAAGGACCTGGTGTTCTCTTTAGAAAGTAGAAGATAGGTAGTGAAATTATTAGTCATTGATGTTTCTTCTCCTTCACTACTTTCTCCCTGTCACAAAGACGCACTTTGGCTCCTTCTTAGATCCTCATTTTTCAGAGCCGTTGTGCACTTAGTGATGAGTAACCAGAAGGAAGATCTCCACATGGACGAGGTACTTGGTTCAAACTCACTCTCGGTACTTCACACACAAGCCCGCCCCCAGGTGCTGGAAAGCATTGTGGTTGTCTGCTGGGGGAGAGCCCCGTGAGTCCTTCAGATGCTCTCTGGTACAGCTCACCCTGTGGTCTCAGCTCCCAGCCACTCATCTGAGTGGGTTACGTATTTGTTTTGATAACGTGCTGTTCATGGTATTGACACAACGGTGCTCTGAACCCTGCAGAGGGAGCTCCTGGATGTCGTGGACAATAATGAGTCAGCAGTCATCGTAGCCCCCACATCCTCAGGGAAGACCCACGCCTCCTACTACTGCATGGAGAAGGTGCTGCGAGAGAGCGATGAGGGGGTGGTTGTGTACGTGGCCCCCACCAAGGTAGGGCCCTGGGGATGGGGGGATTGCCCAGGGTGACCAGGGGGTGGTCATGAATGTGGCCCCCATCAGGGCATGTCCACGGGGATGGGGAGTCTTCCAGGGCGATGAAGGGGTGGTCGTCTACGTGGCCCCCACGAAGGTAGCAATCAGGTGACTTGAATTTTCTCTTCCACTCCTGTGGTCACATGGCGGATTGAGCTTACTTTGTTTTCCAATTTATTTTTTTCCAGTTTTACTGAGATATGATTGACATGGAACATAAAAGTTTCAGGTGTACAATATACGGCCACTATTTGTATGTATTGTGAAATGATCACCACAATCAGTTAACACATGTTTTTTCTTGTAATGAGAACTTTTAAATCTACTCTCTTGCCAACTTTGAAATACATAACATACAGTTGCTAACTATTGTCACCATTATGTCCCAGGACTTTTTTATCTTATAACTGGGAGTATGTACCTTTAGACCCCCTTCCCCCACTTCCCCAACCCCCCACTTCACCAACCCCCAATCTGTTTTGTTTCTGTGAGTTTCACTTTCTTTTTTAGGCTGTGTTTTCTCCTTCCAGTTTGAAAGGCCAAAATAACACCTTAGAGCCTGGTGAGGGTGAGCTCTGGTTGTGGGACCCTGTCACTCAGCACTTGTTTATACAGAGGGAAGCACCATTCTTTGCTGGGCAGTGTTGAGTGGATAAGAATTTGTTATTGCCTCTACCACTGGCGAGCAGGATGTGTCCACTCTGCTCTTGGGCACTGGTATCTGGCTTGTTTCTCAAGCCATGTTGTTTTGCCATGTTTCTTTTATGGCCGGTACCACCTAATATTGGCCTTAAACAGCAGAAAGTCTAATCTTTGTCATTTAGGAGAAAGTTTTGTTTACAGAAGGTATAGATATCCTCATTTACGACCCTTTGTTTTTAATGTGATTACTCTTAAGAAAGGCAGATTTGGTTGGGATAACTAATTCTATAGATTAAAATGAATTCAGTCTCCATTTTAGTTTCTAGGAAAAGGTGGCCTTGAGGGACGTGTGCTCAGGCTCAGAACTGGATTGAACAACATGATTAGTTGAAATTAGTACTTTATTTTTTTGTTTGCAGCTTTTTCATTTTTCATAGTTGTGAAAGCAGGGAAATTAGTAAAATATATGAAGAGAAACTGAGCTTCCTGGAAGTGGAATTGATGAAGTCAGCTTCATGCATGTTGCCAAGTTACTCTTCTAAAAGTTACATCCATTGTTGTTCCCACTGACAGATCTCTTATTTTTCCCAGCATTCCTGTGATCATTTAAAAAAATTTTCCATTATGATCAATGAAAACTTCTGTCTCATACTTCAACGTGTGCTTCTGGATCCCTGGTGGTTTGGGGCTCTTTACACGTGCTTTCTTGGCAGTGGGATTTCTTTATTCACCAGTTCACTTGTGGGTGTATCTGCCTGTTTTCCTTTTCGTCTAGTGGAGAGGGATTGTCTTCCTGCTGATTTTCAGAATTTTGTGTGATAAGTGTATTACTTTTTCTCTATAAATTATAACAGATATGCTTTTTCATTTTGTCTTTTTGCTGTATTGTGGTCATATTAATGATAATATGTTAATGTCTTTGTACAGTCAGATCTACCAGTGTCTTTAGCATTTCCATGTGTGCTCAAATAGATGAAAACCTTCACTTTCTAGTATCTTCATGCTTATGTCTTAAAGTTTACACTTTAGTCACAGTGAAATTTATTTTTTGATATGAAGTGTGAAATGTTTGTGGATATGCACACTCTCTGATTCCACTGGTCAGGCTGCCTGCCTGGTCAGTGTTCTGCTCCTTGCAATGTAGATGTCCGGGGAGACATCCCCAAGGTATGAGGACCACAGGACACCCCGGCTGCCCCCTCCCTCTGCCATCCCTCTCCAGTAGACTCACTGCTTCTCTCTGTGCTGTCTTTGTCTGATATGTGGGCTTCTTTTCCCATTTCTCCCTCTGATGAAGCTGTTTTTCCCATTTTCTTTGGGTTGAGACTCATCAGTGAGGTTCCCAGGTGAGTCGAGCAGCAGGAAGGTGGCGTGTGTGTTAGTGGATGCAGAGCAGAGGCTGTGAGGTGTGTGGACCTCCCTGTGTTCCCCGCAGTGCTTGTTTGTAGACAATCCCTGTGGTTCTCTGAGGTTTCACCCAGACTTTATTATGTGATTAATGGAAGGCTTTCCTTGTCAATCAGGCCCTTGTGAACCAAGTGGCAGCCACGGTTCAGAACCGTTTTAACAAAAGTCTGCCCAGTGGAGAAGCTCTGTGTGGGGTGTTCACAAGGGACTATCGACACGACGCCCTCAACTCTCAGGTAGGATGTGTATTAATTAGTGTATCTGTTACCAAATTATATGATGGTACTTAGAAGTCTCTCTCACTAGAAATTCAGTATCTTGGCAAGCCTGTAGAAATAATTTTCTTGAATTTACAAAAGATGTCACAGCTTCAGAGAAAATTTAACATTGTTTCATTCCAGAGAGTGAGAAACAGCTCATCTTTCTCAGGGACACTTATATTTTGATTGTAGATTTCAGTTATAGTTCATTGGCATCATCTTGGCTTATAAGTAGATTGAGAATGGTCTGAAAAACCCAGTGTTATACAAATTAATAAACACTGCTTTCCAAGCATAGCTGTTTCTTGACCTGCCTTGATAAGTAGGATACTTATGGTAATTTCAGAAACACTGTGTCGTGGATAGACGGCGGGGCGTGAAATAGGCCTCAGATAGTGGTCCTCCTCATTGAACTCATGGACAAGCAGTTGAGACCAAACACAAAGGGAAACTGTGACCACGGAATGCTGCGTGGGGGACTGGGCTGTGCTGCTGAGGGTAGGGAGCGTGGTATTGGTGTCAGTCCCCCAAGTCCTACCTCCACAGCCTGCACCTGGGGCTGAGCAGGGCAGGGGGTAAACACCAGCTGTCTTGGCTGAAAGTGGAGTGTCCCTGGCAACCACTGTTTATGCCAGGATCTGAGCTGGGGGCCAGAGCATCACCAGGTGTGTCCTGCAGCTCATCTCCTCCCTCTGCTTGGCCCTCTCCCAGCTGCCATAGTTGCTAGTCTTCAATAAACATTTTTCAATTTAAACTGTACCTCAGGGTCAGATTTTGAGGAAATAAGCCTGCGACAATGAACTCTTACTGTTATCACCTTGAATGCTCGTTAATAAGAATTCAAGCTGCGTAAGCCATTTGACCTATAAAAACGGCAGTTTCACAGGGCTTAAAGTAATCTGTCACAGCTTTCCTGCAACATTCTCAGAAGCAGCAGGTGCCTTCAGGAGCTACAGCACTTTTGTGTTCTTGGAACCACGTCTTCCAGCCCTGAGAGCTCACCACATCTGTCTGCACATGGTTTATTTCAGGTACTTGTCACTGTGCCTGCCTGCTTTGAAATCCTGCTGCTGGCTCCTCATCGCCAGGCGTGGGTGAAGAGGATCAGATACGTGATATTTGATGAGGTGGGTGGGGTAAGATTTCTCTAGGTTGAGTTCCTCGTTTGGCCACCTTAGGGTGTTTGTCATCGGTGGGAGTTGGCGTTGAGGGTCCCCGGCTTCCCGGGTGAGTCACATTCAGCCTTTTGGGTCCGTTTTCCTCTTCGGGTTCAGGGAGGGGCGTCTGGGTCTGCAGACCCCTGTCTTTGGTGACTTGGAGCAGTATTAGCCACCAGGGCATAGATTTTCCTGGACAGAGATTTCAAAATCCAATCTTGGATTTTGCAGCAAAGATCTGGGGCTCTGACAGTGATGTCAGTTATGTGAGTTATTTCATCAGTCTTGGTCCTGGCAGAAAACAAATGACACTCAAAATAGAGCGACTTGAGAACAGCCTTTTCCCCAGGTGTGCAGGGGACGCTGTCATCCAGAGAGAGCAGCTCTGCCTGGGACTTAGAAGGACAAGCAGAGGGGTGACCATGGAGTCCTGCCAGGAGACTGGGGCTGCGCTGGTCGCTTGGTGAGGGCGGCGGTCTGAGCCCGGGTCCTGCCAGGCTCATGGTAGCGTGTTAGGAGGACAGCATGGCCCAAAGACCCTTCCTCTCTTCTGGTCTCCTGCCAAAGTCGCCTTTGGCCAAATCCGATGGAACCAGAGGGCAGAGGAGTCCTTTGAAGGAGCCTCTGTGCGTCAGCTTCCCTGGGCAGAAAGGGCAGGATGGAAAATAATGGACGTACAATAGGGCAAATGAAGGGTATTTAGAAAACTTCTACAGCAGCATTAAGAATATTTATTCAGAGACTTTAAACGTTGTAAAGTGATCCTTTTGCTTCAAGGAATTTTCAGTTTCAAGTGGAGAACGGTGATAAGCCTATGTCTAACTTAGCTTTTCTCATGCTGTAAACTCAGAGTGACCAAGCACAGTGATGCCTTTCTTTGGTTTGAGTCTGAGTTATTGTGTTTATTTTTGCTCGGTCTGTGTAAACTGCATCTTGAAGCCTCAAATGTTCATATTCAAAAAAAAAAACCCAACAACTTTGTCTTTGCGATCTAATTCCTTGCGTTTCTTATCTCAACTCTGAAATGATGTGACGCTGGGTACCTGCTTCCCCAGTTTTAGGTCAGGGCAGAGCTGATGGGCTTTGAAGGCTCATGTCTGTTCTGGCAGTTGGGGAAAAGTGTCACCTGTGTGAAGCATAAGGTCACTGCTCAGTGGAGGGGCATGTTTTCTGATTCAGGCAAAGCCAGATGGGCAGCAGGATGCTTTTTTAAATGATCTGGCTCTGATGAGAAGTCCTTATCAGTTGACTGCCAGGCGACATAACTTGATCTGTGTAAAGAAGATCATGTGAGAATTTTCCCTAAACCTGGTTCATTTTGCTTTATTTGGTCCGAGGACATTGATTCGTCAGCTGGCATTAAAGGAGTGTGTCTGCAGTGCCAGGCACGGTGGGTGCTGGGGGGCCCAGGGTTGAGTCAGAGTCTTGGGGGAGGGAGATGGACCATTAAGCATACATGGGACTGTACAGCCCTCGTAGGTGCATCCTGGGGAGAAGGGGTAGCTGGTCTTGACAGTGACAATGGCAGAGCAGCATGAGGATCGCTCTGCAGGGGTCAGAGACGTCTTCTAGGGCAGTGATGTTGAGCCCAGCTCTACAAGTGGAAGAGAAAAGGGGGCAAGAACATTTTAATCCAAGGGAGCAATAGACATGGGCATTCTGGGTAGAAAGTTGTGCTCCAGGAGCACAGTCTAGTCTGGTGTGTCTGGGGAGTGGTGAGGCAGGTGGGGCCGGGAGCTGCCCCGACAGCATCGCCCGGTTCAGGGGTCTATATTTTGTCCCACGTGCAGTGGGAGGGTGGTGGAGACATTTGACTGGGAACATGGCCTGATCTAGTCCATCCTTGAGACTCATCTGGTTAGGTGAAGGATGCAGGGGTGGCAGGGAGTGGGGAGGGTACTGAGGTGGTGCAGCTGTGGTATGATGCTGGCGTGGTGGGCAGCAGACTTGGAGTAAATGCAGAGATTTGAAAGACACTTTTGAAAGAAAGACCAGAAGGAATTATTGATGGAGGTTAAAGAAAACTTGTGTCAAGATTTTCTATTGCCAGAATTTGCCAATATTTATGTAAAGTTGGACTGATGGATTAGAGGTAATAGGAAACTATGTGTGACCTTCCAGGCTTCTGTGTCTTATTGTCATCTGGTATTTTTAAATTAACTTAAACTTTAAACTAAAACAAACCAACAAAAACAGTTCACCCATTTCTCCCACCCCACCTCCACCTTTTGCAACTACTTATCTGTTCTCTGTATCTTTGAGCTTGTTTCTGTTTAGGTTCACACATAAGTGAGATCATTTTTTGTCTTTCTATGATTTATCTCATGTAGCGTAATACCCTCAAGATCCATTCGTTTTGTCGCAAATAAAAAGGTTTCATTCTTTTCTGTGGCTTTTTTTGAGGAATAACATTACATTCTGTATATACACACCCCTCCCCCATCAGTGGACACTCAGGTTGCTTCATTTATGGCTGTTGTACATAATGTGGCAGGAAGCATGGGGGTGCAGGTATCTTTTCATGTTCTGTGGATAAACACCCAGGAGTGGGACTTAGGGGTTATGTGGTAGTTCTCATTTTAATTGTTTGAGGACCCTCCATACTGTTTTCCACTGTGGCTGCACTGATTTGCATTCCCACCAACAGGGATTGTGGGTTCCCTTCTCTCCACATCCTCGCCACCATTTGTTATTTGTGGTCTTCTTTATGATGGCTGTTCTTACAGGTGTGAGTGGTACCTCACTGTGGTCCTGATGTGCATTCCTCAATGGCGAGTGATAGTGAGCATCTTTCCATGTGCCTGTTGACCGTCTGTATGTCTTCTTTGGAAAAAAAGTCTATTCAGACCTTCTGTCCATTTTTAATGGAGATCTTTGTCTTTTACAGGTCCACTGTCTTGGTGGAGAAATCGGAGCAGAAGTCTGGGAGCATCTTCTGGTCATGATCCGCTGTCCCTTCCTGGCTCTATCAGCCACCATAAGCAACCCCCAGCATCTCACTGAGTAGGCATTGGCTTCCAGTCTGGAGAGAAGGCTGATCTAGTTTGAATGTTTGGAATTCACGCTCTCTGTTTGGGTTCTGGAGAGTTTCATAACTTCCTGGTGGATTTATTAGCTTATCTCTGGGTTCAGGGATCAGAGTCTCTGGGCCACCTTGCTGGTGTTGAACAGGGACACACTCTTGAAGGGAAACCAAGGACGCCCCCAGTCAGGTCTGCAACTGAGCAGGAATTACCCCCATTTCTCATAAAAGGTTGGCCAGAACTGATTTATTTGTGTCTTTTTCTTTGTCCTTTACCTTTAAAATGGTGTAAAGTGTCACACTCTGCTGTGGACCTTGAGGCTTCTTATACTGTCCCACGTTGGAGATGTTCAGAAAGGCAATGAAGCCTAATTAGTTGGAAGCCCCACATCATTTTTTTCATTGGGCTGGATTTTTGCCCACTAACAGTCACAGTTACAGGAAAGACTCTTCTTTATCAGGTACTGTTCTAAGTGCTTTGTGTACATCAATTTATTTTAAATGGCCAACAGCACTTACGATTGACAGTTTTCATTACTACTCTTAGATAGGGTTTCTAATGCTACTATTATTTACATTTTAAAATGTGGAAAATGAGGCACAGAGAGATTACGTGATTCATCCAAGAGCCCCAGCCATGTGAGGAGGCCGAGATTTGATTTGAGGCAGCCTAGCTCTAGGGCCTGTTCCCTTCAGTACAGACTTTAAGACACATGATTTTCTTTGTTTAAAATATTTGATGTCACAGGAAATAGTTCCATGTTCTGCTGAAATAATGCAATCTTAATTTTTGAGGTGGCTTCAATCAGTAAAACGGTACTGGAAACAAGCAGACAGTATGATGGCAAAGAACGCTGCCTCTCGGAGAAGCGCTGTTACCCGCACCGGTGTGCACAGAGACTACGCACTACCGAAGCAGTCTTACAAAGTGAGACTTGGTAGGTTTGGCACATTCTTAGGAGTTTTACCTTTTCCTTTGAAGTTCTCCCAGCCCTTGTATGTCCACCCACTGGAACCCTTGCTCTCCTTCCCAGTGCTCTACGGGGAGAGGTACAATGATTTGGAGAAGCACGTATGTTCGATGAGAGATGGTGGGATTCAGTTCGACCATTTTCACCCATGTGCTGCGCTGACCACGGACCACGTGAGTGAGGCTCCCGCCAAGCTTGTTCTGAAAGGTGTAAATTATTTGTGTCCTGTTGAAAAGCTGCCTGGTTGACACTTAGCAGAATTACATAATAGACATGGTATGAGTTATGTCACCTTAGTTTTAAAAGTAACAGGAACAACTTCATAGCTGCACTGGTGCTTCTTGGGTGTCTGGATCCCCAGAGCTTCAGAATGACTGAACATTTTAACCTGAAGTTTTCTGGATTGATTTTCTTGATTCTTGGATGTTATCTTTGCCCATTTTCCTTCTTCTCAGCCCCTGTGTCCATCTGTCTGCTTCCCTGAGACTCTTCTCAGTGTAGCCGTGACCACGTGTGGACAGTACTGAGGACACGTGAGAGTCTGACCGCTGTGGATTAGGTCACGGAACAGTCATAGCAGGCTTGTCGGGAGTGAGTCAGTAAAGTGGAGGTTTGACGGGGACCTCCTTGGGGGCACTGGGGTTCGAGTGGGGGAAGGTTTCTTGATTTTTCTTGCATATTTTCCCCTTTTTCATTCTTTTCTCAGGAATAGCTCATTCAAGCTCTGGTTGCCTCAGTGATAATTAGGCAACAGTTGGCCTTCCTTCCAAGACCTGGCAACTTAAATATATTCTAAATTCTGTTGTCAGATTAAGCCTTCTAATCTGACAGTTTTTAAGGTATATGCAAGTTTCTTTATTTAAAGTGTTTGCTGTCACAGGGAGTTCCAGGTTCTGCCTAAATAACGCATCTGAATCAGAAAGCTAATTTAGAGAAACAGGATGGTCCTGACCCTGCCATGCCTGTGATGACTTTCCTTTGGGAACAGCCAAAGGCATGTTTGGCTCCTCAGCTTGGCTCCCCAGGTCCTCTCTGACCTGTCCCTGTTCCTTCCTGTTCCTCCCCGTGGTGGATCTCACCTGGAGTCCCTCATGACTTTTACATAAACTGGAGTATTTCACCACAGATGCAAAGTGCCAGTTGTCCAGACCCTGTTCATCTTTTATGACTTGTCCCATGGGAAGCCTCATCAGACTCCTGTATGACTTCCTCACCTGATGGCACCTCCTCTCCACAGCACCTGGTCTGTATTTCTCTCATGACGCAGCCATGGCCAGCTTGCTGCAAGTTCTGTGCATGCTTGTCCTCTTACAAGAGTAATAATGCCTTGAAGACAGGTTTTGTTTCCTTATAGTTTGAGACTAACTGCTATGCATATAAAATAAAAATGTATGTCAGATAAGTTACAAACAACCCAAATGAAGCACTTATGTTGTGTTCCACGAGTTTTACATATCTGGTCTCTCTTATCTGGCACAATAATTTGGGATGGATGCCTTGTTAACACTCTCATTTGGCAGGTGAGGAGGTGGGGCAGAGGGAAGCCCACTGACTCCCTGTCCTGTGATGGAGGATGTGGCAGGGCTGGGTAGTGGCCTCCAAGGGGCTGAGTTAGAGCCCACCCTCTCATCCCTGAGTTCGGAACGCCTGGAGGAGGGACTGGATGAGAATCGCTCTAGAGCATCTGGGCTGAGACACACAAGCTTCGAGAAGCAATTGAACAAATTCCAGTGATGATAATTTTCCAACAGAATTTTATCATTGGAAGCTTCTTTTTTCTGTGGCAATGGCTCAATCTCAGCTCTAAATAAAACTAAACTATGGATGAGATTCCTGTGACCTAAGTCACACCCCCAAACTAGAGTATCAATGATAACACAAACATAAATAATGAAAGACTCCTTCCTCTGTCCCTCTCCCCTTTTCTCGTTCTCTCTTCTTTCCCCATCATCGCCTGGCATTTTTAAGCAATGTATTATCTTCCCAGTTACTTATTCTGCGTGGATGGCTCAGTGAAGGTTGTCTTTCAGTCACAATGAGCACAGATGTTGGGAGTACTTGGCAAGGCTGGTGTTTTGGTCCATGAGCCTCCGCTATGCAAATGGGAGCTATGACTGGAGTCATAGGTGTCATGGGAGCAGTACAGGTGCCCCCTCATGCTCTGACCCCATGCAACCTCTGCAGAGGTCACCTTACTGTTCGAATCTCCTTAAGGCTCCGGACTTTTCCAACAGGCATGCAGGATGAACACAAAAGCTTGGCTGTTTTTACATCTGGCTTTTGACAGTTGTGTGTGCAGTGTGTTTCCATAGGAAGCAGTAGTGGTAAGAAGCAAGGAGGCCTTTCTGGATGAGGAGACGCTTCCTGAGCTTGCACCGTGGCCTGCAGAGTGACAGGGAAGAGCTGGGTGGCCAGAAAAAGCCTGAGGAATGTTGACAGTAGGGAGAGAAGAGCCATCTGCCTGGGTGTCTACTCTCTGGCCCCTTCCCAGAGAAGTTTTCGGGAAGAGGGGAGGAGGAGTGAGCTGGCCTTAACCCGGCTGAGGGGGGGTATCTTCCTCCACAGAGGCTGTCTCTGATGAAGGGCTGAGTCTGGCCTTTGCTCCCGTTATCCCACTGCACAGCACTGCCAGGGGTGAGGGTTGTCAGTCCCAGCAGGTGTTGGGGAGCTGCCACCGGCCTCTTCCTGCTGCACCTGGATCAGTGCCCCCATCACTATGGAGCTGGGGCACCATGATCGTGGGACAGTGCTGTTGTGCTCATAAGGGAAGGCTGGTGCCAGTCTGTGGGCTTTTATTTCTCTTCCTTTTTCACCTAGTCTGTTTCAGTTTTTCCAGCTCATTAGTTATCTTATAGTGAAGAACAATGGAGCTGATTTCCCAGCTTTTAGCCTTAGAATTGTTAAATTGATTTAAAAAATTAAGACCTGTCAGTTTATCATTAATCCATCACGCTGACAGTTTAGGCATCGCCCGTGTCCCTGGTAATTTACCAGACCTGCTACACGCGTTGTCTGTCTTAATTCCTACAGCAGATGTACAGCTCAGCTAAAGTGCCCTTCATTGTGGAAACAAGGGCACTGAGGCTTTTGTAAGAGGCCAAGGGCTTTAGGAAATCATAAACATTCTAGTGACCAAAAAGAAGATTGACATCTTAAAAATTATGATAGTTCCTGGACTTATTTTATTCAGACAAAATAAGTTACCACTTTCAAGCAGTATTAATAAGAGAACAAAATGCTGCTATTCTAAAATAATATAGTCACGTGCTATTTGGCAAAATGTTTTTTTTTTCCTGTCCAGCTGGTTTGATGCTCAGACTATGATGCTAAACCATGATTCCAGGTGGGCACCTGCCCACTATAGATTCTTACAAGCCTCATTCAAAGCCTGATTGATTATTTTAATTAAAATATGTTTGACATAAGATGGTGTGTGGGTTTAAGGGGTTCAGCATGTTGACTGTGTACATTTATTTTGCAGTATGACTGCCACTGTGGCTTAGTGAACACCTATGAAGTCGTCATTCCGATTTTGTGGGGGAAGATTAAGTTCCTCCTCTTCATGTATTTGGTGTCTGTAATACAAGCCTTGTTGTCTGTGTCTGTCATCACTGCATTCACTCTTTGGATCTTACTTATCTCCTAGTTTTTAAAGTTTAAAAAAACATACACTGATATATATATCTTGTTTGCTTTTACCACAGTCAGTAACCTATATTGTAGGTTTTTATTTTAACCCTATATTGTGGAGGAGGAACTAGCATTTAGAGGTAGAATTAGAACTCAATCCTCTCATTCAAGCTGAAACACCCTTTCCATCCTGCCGAGTTTTTTCAACTGTATTGTGATTGGAGTGACTTGTTTAGCCCAGAATTTACAAACCTGAGTTTCATAACTGAATAGCTGTTAACTAAGAAATGTGCTCTATTGTCAGATAATTTGTGAGAAATCTGTGTACTGTAGCCCATTCTTTGAGACTTAACATTTCTGATGTAAAACCTTGAGGAAACCTGTTTAATAGAACACTCTGTCTTTTCTTTTGAAGAATTCCTGCCCACATCTTGGGGATTGTGGTTTCACAGGCAGATGATTCACAATAAGAGTGGTTGAAACCGGTAGAATCTACTGCAACACAAGCTTTTTGAGGACAAGAATATTTACTTTGTATTTTAAAATACTTGTGGGAAAATGAACGATGTGGATATCCAGAAGGCTTAAAGCAGAACCAATTCAGTGACCTGGGGAGAGGTTTCCTGGAGTGTCTTGAAGGTCATGTGAGATCCTGAGCCTTGAACTTGACCTCAAGTGATCTTAGGACTTAAGGAAATTTACTAAGCATGTTACTTGAGGGCTGTTTTCAGTGTCTTCGGGTCCATGAGAGTGTGAGGCAAAGGATAGAACATAAGGTAAAATAGAAGGAATGTTAAACTTTTCCATTTTATTTTAAACGTAGATTGAAAAGTATGGATTCCCTTCTGATCTTAGCCTGTCACCTCGAGAAATGATCCAGCTTTATGACACTATGTCTCAGTTCTGGGAAGGCTGGCCCAGGGCTCAGGTAAATAGTCACTACTCAATTATTCTGAACCTGTCATAGTGGGTGGTAACTTTGCTGTTCAGAGAGACAAGCTCTCACTCTTTCTGAGCTTTTAAAATTACTGGTGAATTCTTTCCAAAATAAGATTTCCCCTTCTCTAACATCCTTCCTCCTAATATTCTGTGTTTTACTGCCATGAGGTGGAATGCTCCTGTATTCCTGAAAACATTTCCTGTTTACTTCTTGGGACGGGGCAGCCCTTCAGCCTCCTCCTCCGCCCATCCTGGGTCTCATTCCTGGCCTCTCTCTGCCGTGACTGCCCTGTGCTTTCACTCCTGTCTAGTTTTTCCATCCTGTTAGGTTTATGCACCAGAAGTGATGGGAAAATAGAATGAAGTTTACCATGTCCCCTCAAGAGGCTTGTCCTTCTGTTAATGACACACATAGTTGAGAAACATCTGTGGATTTTCTTACGTGATTGTATTAATTTGGTGGCATTTCTTTTCAAGGAGTTGTGTCCAGAGGAATTCATTCATTTTAAGAATAAAATAGTCATCACAAAGATGGACACTAGGAAATATGAAGAGAGCCTCAAGGCAGAACTGACTGGCTGGGTGAAGAGCGGCCACGCCTGGGAGGTGATTGTCATGCGGTGTTGCCGCAGCTGCTCCGGGCTCCCTGTGGCCTCCTTGGGCTGCGCTGTGCTGTCAGCACTCTTTTCTGGGCTTTTCTAGTCTTACATTTAAGGGTTTTCAGTCGAAGGTAAAGTCTGAGATGGGGTAGGGAGAGAGAAAGGAGCCTGGCCTCTGTCTTGTCCTCCCGTCCCCTCCACGTGGGCTCCATCTCCTACTAGACAAGGTCAGAGGGGCCCCTGGGGTCTTGATGTTGGGGCTACGTGGAGCCTGGAATCACAGGGACAGTAGCTGTGAGGAGATTTTTACTCCTTTATCTTCTTCTTATCTTGAAGTTTTTCTCTTTTATGATTTTTATTTTAATTTGTTGGAACTATTTTTGTATTAAAACTGTAACTGGGGGACATGTGAGTTATGCGTGTTTATTTTCAGTAAGTTGATCGTCTTTTCATTTTGGGGTTTGTCTTATTGTCACACACTGAGGTTTCTGGCTTTTGGGGAGTGACGTGTATCAGACTTTTCTCAGGTGGGTTTGTCCCATTACAGTGCAGCTTAGATTATCTCCTCCCACTCTGAAACATAATATAATTGAGGTATATTTTCTTCCATTTATTTTGTCACTAAAAACCTCTGAAATGTATTTATAATTATAAGTGACTTTTTACATGATACAGAGAGAAACTGACTCACCCCACCTCCTGTCATGGTGGAATCAGCATCGTTTTCTGAACAGTCCTCTTCCTGATTTCTGTTGCCTTAAAATTCTTGTTAAACTGTGTGTGTGTGTGTGTGTGTTTGTATATATTGCCGTCTTTTTGTTCTGGTGTGTTGATTTGTATATTTCTTTTTTATTTGCAAAATTTTAGCTTATACTTTAGTTATTGTTACATTTGTTATATATGATGTCAAAGAACCACAGAAGCATAGATTAGACAACTATGAACACGTTTCAGCTGGCAGTAGTAATGTGTTTCTTCATCGTGCATAACTTAAATAATTTTCTGTTTGTTGTTACAGGCCAGAACAGTCCTGCGGAATCTTCGTCCAGTTTCGGTTGTTAGTTCAGAAAACATGGCAGATCTGTTTCCACTTCTCGTTGAAAAGCTCAGCCAGATGAAAAAGTTACCTGCACTATTTTTTTTGTGAGTCATTTTATTTGTTTTTAGTCATAATTTGTATTAGAGTTATTCCTTTAAGTTAAGGAAAGTTGTACAGACTATTCTGTAAAGTAATGTTTATTACTACTTTTGGTGCCCTTTTGTTATCAGAGTGCAGAGTTTCTAGTTCAGTTCTTAAAAAAATAATTTTACTTGTGCTATTGAAAGATACCGTCTTTATTTGGTTTCCTTCTCCATTTCTTGTTTTCCTTTGACTATAAACTACTATATTTTTATTCAGGTCTTGTTAATTTTCAGTAAAGACCTAGATTGTTTGCAAAACAAATTGAACATTTATGCACCCAGTTACCCCACATAAAATTAGAATATCCTTACAACATGCTAGTTTAAGTTCCAAGGTGCCAGGAAGTCCAGACCATGTGTCCCTAAGTATTTCTTCAAAAGGCATAAATCCCAGACTATGGAGACATTTCTGGATTGTAGAGGCCAGAGGCACCTGGGTTGATCTGGTGTCTAGAAAGAAATAGTCACAATCCAAGAGTTTAGGGTGACAACCCCAAATTCTCTTCATCCTGCCTAAAGGAGCAGAATTTTACTGTATGATCTCAGTTACATGTGGAATCTGGAAAAGCCTAGTTCAGAGAAACAGTAGATTAAGGGTTGCCAGGGACATGGGGCTGAGAGAGAGGGGGAGGTGGGCCAAGGTGCAGATCTCAGTTGTGAGAGGAGTTAAGTCCTGGGGGTCTATTCTGATGTCCGCACAGTGACTACAGTCAACAGTACAGCATCACACACTTGAAAGTGGCCAAGACAGTAGATTTTCAGTGTTCTCACCATAGGAGGAAAAAGGGTGACTATGTGAGGGGCTGGTTCTGTTCACTAACCTTGTTGTGACCATTGTGCTGCACATGCTTATGTCAGGTCACCACGTTGTGCGCCCCAGACATACACAGCATTACACATCAGTCATGTCTTAGACTGACAACAAAAGACACGTGGAGAAACACAAAGGAGGCACTAAAATTCACAAAAGATTCGGCCATCAAGAAATCTGACTTATTTCACTAAACATAGTATTCTCTAGTGAAGTAAACTAGAGGGAGAAAGACAGATACGGAGGGTATCACTTGTATGTGGAATCTCAAAAATAATACACATCTATATGTGAAAAAGAAACAGGCACACAGACAAAACAAACTTCCGGTCAGCAAAGGGAAGAGGGCAGGGGGAGGACGCACGGTGGGCTGCCATTAAGAGTACAGACCACTGTGTGTGAGGTATGAGCGGCGAGGATGTCTGTGCAGCACAAGGAGGGATAGTTGTTACTTCTGATAACCTGTGACGGAGCTTAATCTGCAGAAAGCCTCAATCACTGTACTGTACACCTGGAACTAACATCAAATTATAAATCAACTGTACTTCAATTTTTAAAAAACGGAATCTGGACTTACATATATTTACATAATACTAACAGTCTTTGATTTTTTTATGAAGCACAATTAAAGACCAGTGGAATTCAACACAAGAGCAGCTATGAAAACAATACAAATAAATTAAAGAGCAAAATTTTTTTTTGTTTTTAAAACATTTTTTTCATCTCTTAAGAGGGGAAGCATCCCTCTCCTATGTGTGAAGAACATCTCTTGTCCCTGTCCCTTGCCTGGGGATGCCTGACCACTCCTACAGGGACAGCCTCCGGGCTGCTCATTGCCATAACCCCAGGAGCAAGGTCTGGGGCTGGGAGGGGAACTTACAACTCACAGACCCAGAACTCCTGGTGTGCCTATTCAGGACAAAACTCCTAAAGATGGGTGTTCAAAACCCCACAGGTAGATGTCAGGATGGCAACCGTGGATGGACATGTGATTGAATTTTCTTAATTGCATTATTTTCAAGCCAAGCATTCTTTTTGTTTGTTCCCAGATTTAATTTAGGGGATGTTGAGCAAAGGGCAGGAAGTGTGAAAACTTTCCTGGAGCAAAAGCAGCAGATAAAAAGGCCCCCCAAGGCTGACAAGGAGGCCTATGATGTGGCCAATAAACTTCGAAAAGTTAAAAAATCCATGGAGAAACAGAAGACAGTGTAAGTATGTGGCTAAGCAGGTTGATGGTTAGCAGGTGGTTGAAATACTCCACCAGGTCCCAGGAGGAAACACACTGAACGTGCTGCAGTGCCGTTCTAGTTGTTGTGTAGACTTACTTGCAAATTGAGTAAACAGGGCGGGAGGACAGGGTAAACGGAAGTGGCCCAATATTTACATGTTCCTTAGTCACAGAGGTGAGTCTCCTGGGCCCTGGGAGAGGCCGGAGCACAGCTACAAGCACAGGTAGATAATGTACCTGACAGGAAGCACACCTGTGACACAGGTGACTGTGACCCTGTTGGTCCCCAGAGGCGTGGACACAGTCTGCCACAGTGTCTCAGGTCACTGAGGCACCACTGCAGTCACATGAGTGACCACACAGTGGACAGAACAGCCAGATTTTTGCTTCCTTGTTCTCAGTGTCTGATTTGACCACTCTGGGGCCCAAATGAGCAGTCCCCTGTTACCCTCTCCGTCCTCAGTCATGGCCAGTTTAAATGCCCCCATATCTTCTGTGGATCACCTCAGAGGTTTCCTCCTCAGACTCCAGAGCGCCACGGCCCACCACCCTGTGGTCAAGGTAGCAATCAGATGAACTGTTACCCCCACTCAGGGTTCTTTCTTCTTTCTTGCTTCAGGGGTGAGGTCTGGAACTCCTTGGCTGTTGTTGGTGGGCAGACATGTTTGGGTTTTGCCCTCACTTGGCAGGTTCACTGCCTCCTGCTCCCATCTGACAAGGCTCAACATGAATCATTCTCCCCACATGGTGCGTTCTGCTGCCCGTCTCCGCATTCCGGCCCTTCTGCCTGGATGGCCTTCCTGCTGCCCTCAGGCTTCTGCTCTAGTTTTGCTGTGCTCTGAATCTGTGCTCACCCTGCTCTCACCTCACATCAAGTTTATAGGTCAAGTGGGATGTCCGGCTATTGTCTTTGCACGTCTGGCTTTCGCCAAGTCCTCGCTCTAGCCTGGCAGGAACCATGCCTGTTCCTCGTTGCTTGGTAGGTCAGCCTTGTGCCGCTTTGAAACAAATGGGAGTTACTTCCCTCAGTGTTGAAACAGCTTTTACAGCTTCTCTGACTCAGATTTCTCAAATTCCGGATTGAGTCAGAAATTGCTGCTGACACACATACTCATGTCCTAATAGCAGTGGGAGATCTCGGCCTTGGCAGTAATTGGTCTGCTTTAGACAGCTTCCCCAGGGTGCTTGGGGCGCGATTTCAAGTTGGATTAGTGATCAATTCCAGCTATTAGAAGGAAAAGGATGTTTGGTACCTTGTTCAGTGCCATGAGCACACAGAGGGTGGGGGCTCCCACGCTGAGCTCTCCATTTGCATCCGGTGCCGTAGGTGAGGAGTTGGTGCTCCTCGCCTGGCAGACACGGCCCCTGGACTCATTCTCCCCTTCCACAATCCGATCCTAACGGGGCTGAACATGCCAGGGTGGCGGGAGGATGTGTTTTACTTGGAAAGTTTGTTACCTCGATTTAAAACTTATAAACAGCTGGACAACAGTCTGTGAGCCCCAGTATCTCTGCTCCCCACAAAGAGTGGCGCCACGCTTTCCCGGTGACAGCGTCCTCCCTAAAGGTGAGGGAGTGTTAGTTGAAGGTGAGGATATATATGGTGCAACACTGGTGTGCTCATCGCCTCCTGTTGGAGCTGTCTTGTGTGCACAGTCCAGAGACAGTCCCAGGGAGGACCAGGGCTCTGGGGTCTGTAGATGGCAGTACCAGTGAGGAGCGACGGGAAATGCCATCTGATGGCTGAGTCAAATCCAGTGTTTAAGGCACGGTGTCCTAGGTCAGGCTCCCCACACCTCAGGGATCTGAGGTGGGGCCCCGTGTAAGTGATCTGTTGAAGGGATGCACCCATGAGGGGCCAGTGACAAAGTGATGAAGAGACCTTAGGGTGTGGTTGTTGCTGAAACTTGGCCTCAGCCTGGCCAGCGGCAGGGCAGGGTGGGGGGCGGGCCTGGGGGCATCGCAGAACCATCCTAGCTGGGGTTTAGGTGGCTGACTCCTTTTTTTTTTAACTTTTTTTTATTGAGTCATAGTCATTTTACAATGTTGTGTCAAATTCCAGTGTAGAGCACAATTTTTCAGTTATACATGAACATCCATATATTCATTGTCACTTTTTTTTCGCTGTGAGCTACCACAAGATCTTGTATATATTTCCCTGTGCTACACAGTATAATCTTGTTTATCTATTCTACATTTTGAAATCCCAGTCTGTCCCTTCTCACCCACAGCCCCCTTGGCAACCACAAGTTTGTATTCTATGTCTATGAGTCTGTTTCTGTTTTGTATTTATTTATTTATTTTTTTAAACTCCACATATGAGTGATCTCATATGGTATTTTTCTTTCTCTTTCTGGCTGACTTCACTTAGAAATGACATTCTCTGGGATCATCCATGTTGCTGCAAATGGCGTTATGTTGTTGGTTTTTATGGCTGAGTAGTATTCCATTGTATAGATGCACCACCTCTTCTTTATCCAGTCACCTGTTGATGGACATTTAAGCTGTTTCCATGTCCTGGCTATTGTAAATAGTGCTGCTTTGAACATTGGGGTGCAGGTGTCATTTTTGAAGTAGAGTTCCTTCTGGATATAAGCCCAGGAGCGGGATTCCTGGGTCATATGGTAAGTCTATTCCTGTTCTTCTGAGGAATCTCCATACTGTTTTCCACAGTGGCTTTCCTTACTTCCCTCTCCCATTCTTAATGATTTAGATGTCTTCTTTTACAATTCTGTGTTTATTCTATTTGGAATTCTTGGTAGTTATCACCTTTCCAGTTAAGAGTTTCTCATTTTTGTAGCATCCTGCTGCTTTTCTGTTTATAGTAGACCTGTCAGTATTTATTTTAGCAT